ATCTGTGACAGTGATGGTGATGATGAACTTGTCCGTGATCTCTCTGTCCAGCGTTCTGTCCGTTTCCAGCGTGTAATAATTCTCAAGTGAAGATTTTAGCATGAACGGGAGGTCCTCTGACAAAGAACAAATCATCCTGCCGTTGTCCCCAGAGTCTCTGTCTCGAATACTAAAAACCATAACCACAGTCTTCGGAGAATTTTCTGGGATTGGACTGGTAATTGATGACACGGTCACTTCAGGAGCATTGTCATTCACATCAACCACCTGAATTTTGAGTGTTGATTTTCCAAAAAGGCCTCCCCCATCTGTGGCTTGAATGATTATTGAGTATGATTCAGTTGTTTCAAAATCCAAGGGTGCAGTTAAACTAACTTCTCCAGATTTTTGATTAATTTCAAATGTCTTTCGAATGCCTTCTGAGGCATGGGAAAAAGCGTATGATATTTCCCCATTTTTTCCCGAGTCTAAATCCCAAGCTGAAACGGTGACAACCAGCTTTCCTAGTACGCTATCCTCTGGAATCTTCACCTCATAAAATGGCTGCTCAAACTCTGGGGAGTTGTCATTAATGTCCACTACCACCACCCGAACCATGGCAGTCCCGGACCTGGGCGGAGACCCACCATCCAGAGCGGTGAGGATGAAACTGAGTTCAGACTGCTCTTCATAATCGAGCGCCTTGTCCAGAACTAACTCTGGGTATTTCCTATTATCGGGATTGACTCTCATTTTAATGTGGAAATGAGAGTTGGGGCTTATCGTGTAGCTTTTTAGAGCATTGATTCCTACATCTAAATCCTTCGCACTTTCTAGTAAGAACACAGCACCGACAGGACTATTCTCTGGGATTTCTAGGAGCATTTCTTTTTCTAAGAAGATGGGAGAATGGTCATTTATATCCCTGACCTGGAGCTCAATCTGTAAAAACTGCATGGGGTTTTTCATTAATATCTGGAAATGCAGCAAACAGGGCTCCGTGGAGCCACAGAGCTCCTCTCGGTCCAGCGCTTCGCTTAAGAGCATATCCCCTGTATTTATGTCCAGCTGCAAACGCTGTTTGTTATCGTTAGAGACCACCTGAGCCCCCCTCGATAACAGCTCACCCACTTCCAGTCCCAGGTCTTTTGCCAAATTGCCTACAAGGCTCCCACTCTGCATTTCCTCTGCCACCGAATAGCGCCCAGACTCGGAGCCCGTCTGAGACATTCCCAGCAAAACAAAGAGAAGCAGGACTTGCCTTATCCGCAGAGTGTCTGCCCCTCCGGTCTCCATAACTCCTTTCCCAAAGGCTTCCTGCTGAATCGCTTCAGTTCCTCTTCACAATTCTGGGAAACGTGGTTCTGGTATGTCCACAGAATCTGGGAGGCCTAAGGGTTTTAACCCTGTTGAATAGCTTCTAGTTTGCCCCGAAGCCTTGTTCTTTCTGTCTTCCTAGTGCTCTCTGTGCACTGGTTAACAATGTCCAGAACATCATTCGTCGTAGGTTTTTTTTCTCCCCCAGCGACGTTATCCTGCAGCGCCACCATGCGTCTCCACATATTTTCAGAGTTTGATGAAAGCTACCTAAATTCCATTCACATAAATATCCACCAGAAGCAAATACTGTTTTATTTATTGTGTTTAGGTGAGTACATATATATTCTATCTTCCATAAGAACTGTTTTATACTCCTTATAATTTGTGATGCTGTTAATATTTGTTTTTAAAGCATTAAAGTATCTGTTCCCACTGTCCACACAACTGAAAATGCTCAGTTTTGGTGAATACAGAAATAAAAAATGTGATGCCTGGCCCCCAGAAGCTTGTAGTCTTTCTGAGAAAATTTAAAACTGGAAACAAGGAGAGTATAAATGACTGTTTAACTGAAGAAAATTCCATCACTCCTTGGCCTTCCTTAGGTGGTAGGAAGGGGAGGTGTACATAAGTGATTTCAGAAGTCTTCTCAAAGGATATGAAACTTGATTAACCATAAGGTGAAATATAAATAGATATATACAGATAGAAAAGAAGGCTTTCTGTAGATTTACTTGGTAGCAATGAACTGTGAGCTGAGAGAAAAATGAAGTAAGATTTTGGGGTGGAATACATTATGTAAATTCACAATTTAGTTCCAGCATCTCATAAATTACAAAAAATATTTAATAAGTACACAAACAAAACATGTTAGTTTCTATTGCAGGCTTACTCCTAAAGCTAGCTTCTCTTGGGTTCTTCAGATTTAGCCCAGTTACAGCTATGGTACTCTGCTGTCTCTTTCAGCACAGGAAGAGAGAGTAAGAGAGATGTCTTTTTCCCAATCATAGAACAAAAAGTTAAATATTTCTCTGATCAGACCAACTAAGATCATGTACCTGCTGCTGAAGCAATCATTGTTTCAGGGGTATAGAAGTATAGGTAAAGATTTTAGTTCCAGAATCTGAAGACCCATCTTTGGCCTCTGCTTTGTTTTAATCCTGTCTGGGGCCACCTCTTTAAGGTTTGGGTGGTTTCAGTTGTAACCAAAGTGCACGGCTGCTACATAATGAGGGAGATTGTTTGGATAGACTTCACCAGCAGTGTCTACTAAGGTCTGAAAAGTGCTCTCAAGAATGGGTGGAAGAGGGGTCTAACAAGTTTTCATTTTTTGAATGTTAAATTCAAATTACACTCTTAAAAAATGTAAGCTAGAAACATGGTTGAAAAATCAATCACTACAAAATGGTAGATTTTGAAAAGTTAGGTGGACTGACCACACATACTTATCCTCCCTCCTTTTAAAATACCCAATAAATGATAGAAAATTAATAAAAATGACATGAACTTGCAAAGATCAAGAATGCACACTCATATGTTTGATGACAGAAATCAGATGAAAGAGCAATTATCAGTTCCAAGAAATGTCTAAAGAAAAGTTCCTGCATTAGAGATACTCACAAGAAAATAATAGGCCTGTCCCACATAATCCCATTTAGGTACAAGATTTGGAGGAACCCAGTGTATAAGGCTGAAGTCCATTAAAGACTAAAAAGAAGTTATTAGTTACTATAGACGTATATAGGAGAGTTGAATTCTCAAATCCTCTCAGCATCCTACATAGGAAAGTAACTCAGGGGCAGAGAATGGAAAGTTTGTTCTATGAAGAAATTAAATGGGACTACCTCTAGTTTTGGAGACCCTAGGCAGAGCTGAGTGCAGGTGTGAGAAGAAGAGTGAAACTCAAAATAGGGAGATCAAGCAAAACTTGGCATCCTGAATGGTGAGACTTCTAGTCCCTTTCCATGCAATACTCTCCATTTGCAGGACAAGTATATGCCTGACTCCCTCTCTAACTCTCTCTGCCACAGATGGTATTGCAGAATTCTAATCTAGAGAATATGAAAGACTCAAATAAAAACTTACACATACTGATATTTGGGGGTCTTCTAAGGTAATAGCTCTATCCTACCATAATTACATTAGAGTGATGCCTTACCATCGAGGTGCTGCATTCTCACATACTCAAAGAGCTGACTGTCAGTATTTTGATAACTCATCATTATTAACTATGAGAAGGCAGTCAAGGACCACAAGACATGAGGAAGTTCCTACAACATGCCAAAACCACCATCACCAAAAAGGGGGAAGGAATAAGAGGAAACAGATACACAGTGAAAATAGAAGAAAGTGTTTTAAAATGTCTAATATCCTCAGAGTAGTAAAATCTAATAAGGGCTAATATTTACTGAGTACTTACTCTGTGCTACCCATTATTCTAGTGCTACATATGTGCTTACACATTTAATATCAACAGTAATCATGTGAAGTATGTGTTCTTATTGTAAGATAAATAATAGATAAGGGTTTAAGTGCCACTTCCTAGCTATATAATCTTAGGCAAGTTCTTAATTTCCAGGTGATGCACTCTCATTTAAAAAATAGATATGATAGTAGTTTTTACAGCATAATGCATTTTAAAAGAATAAATAGATTAATTATAGATGACAGAAGATATTACATTTACAGATCTATAACAGGTGCTATGAAAAACACTCAGAGAACCAAAAAGAGCTCTTAAAAATAAATGTTTGTTGGCCAAAAATAAAAATTTAAATACAAAGCCTGAATGATAAAATACATTTTCCAAAAAGTAGAATAAGAGACAAACAGAAAATAAGAACTGAAAAAAAAGAGAGAATCAATCCAGGTGAGACAATATTTAACTAATGCGATTATGGTTAGAGTGAGAATGTAGAAAATTCAAGGGAGAAATTATGATGAAAATAGAACAAGAAAATTTCTCAGAACTGAAAGTGAGATTCTGAACATTAACAGGGTTAATGTGACCATTATACCCATGTGACCAGATAAATAAATAACTGAAACAAGTATTTTCGGAATAGGGGAGGAAAATTTCCAAGGTTTCCACAATGAAAAAAATGGGGTGACATTAAAAGAGACAGGAATCAGAATGGAAACAGTTTTCAGAACAGCAACTCTATATGCAATCAGTAAAAGGAACACTGCTTCAAATATCTGAGGGAAAATTGTTTTCAACCTAGAATTTTATATCCAGTCAAACTATCAATGAAATGAAAACAAAGATACCTTCACAAGGCAAGATCTCAAAAAAAATTTACCTCCTCTGCATCTATTTTTATGGAGGTATTGACTGATGTGTCAGCTAAATAAGAGAGTAAACTAAGAAAGTAGAACAGTTGTCCTTTGGTATCTGTGGGGGATTAGTTCCAATGCCCAATGGATATCAAATTCCCAGGATGCTCAAGTCCCATAGTTGGCCCTTCCTATGCAAGGGTTGTGCATCTGCAGATTCAACCAAGCTCAGACTGTGTATTAAGTCTGCTATCTGCAGTTGGTTGGATCTTTGGATGCAGAATCCAGATACAGAGGTCCAGCTGTATATACATTGGAAAAAATGCTCGTATAAGTGGACACTCACAGTTCAAAACCCTATTGTTAGTCAACTGAATATACAGTTTCCTATAAAAGAGGACCAACACAGTAAAGTATTAAAGGAGAAAAAGTTCTAGGGCGATAGCCTATAGAACAGTGTAAATGAAGCTGAGATATGGGGGAAATCCCAGCAAAAGATTTCCAGAAAAGAAATATAATTGATAGGTTTCTGACATTTTTTAATATTTAAATGGAAAGACTGATAGTCAAATGAGAGATAATATGAAAAATCAGTATAATTAATAGAAATGATGCAAATAAAAACAATCATCAGCTCTAGGAAAGATGTTCAAAAAGGAAATGTAATACTAAACTAATATGTATTTTGAAATATCTTCACAATATAGATAAAAACTATTAGTTTAACTTAAAAAAAACTTAAGACAACACAATTGGGAGAATAGAAGAAATGGAATGTACAATGTTTGTAAGTGTGTTTCTTAGTTGGAAAGTAAGAGGGGCATGAAATGTGTAAAGAGGATTAAGAGGTACAAACCTCCAGTAGGAAACCCACTTTGAAAACCGTGGGGCTATATACAGCATAGGAATATGATCAATAATATTATAATAACTTGTATGGGTACAGTTGGTTACTGGACTTATTGTGATAATTATTTCATAATGTATGCAAATGTCAAATCACTATGTGGTACACTTCAAACTAACATTATACATCAACTATATATCAATAAGGAAAGAAAGGGGAGATAAGTAATTAAGAGATTAAAAAAGTAAGAAAATTAAATCCTTTTTTATCATGGAGAAGTAATTAATGTATAAAACTGAATGTCAGTATATAGCAGTATAAACATATTTCTTAGTAATATTGAGATAAATTATAGAGAAACCACTCATAGAAGAGGGCTGGAGATTTAAGAGTATTGTTCTTTATGATTTTTAGTTCATCTTAATTTTTAAATTTGAGATGATTAAAATATATTACAAAATAAAGTGAATATCTTTCCAACAATCTACCAATAGCCTTACACAAATTTTCAAAATATTTTTATTTATATTTATTTTCATGCAGGCTATTACACTTTGTTTCAATTATAAGACATTTTGCTGTTTTATACAGTAGGAAAAGTAAATATTAGAAAATATGAAATGAATAAGTAGTGCATTTAAATTGAATGAAAATAACATGAACACAAGAATATTATACTAGTCCAATATTGCTGACAAAAGGATGTCTCCTTTTATTATGAGCAGAGTAATAAGTATGTATTTGTTTTTAAATACTATTGTTTAGAACAAGATGCTGTGGTTTCTTAACATAGTTAAAAGGAATGTTAGAGTAAGGTCAGAAGTGCAGGTATGTCTTCTTAGGTGAAGGAAGTACAATAGGTGTATAGTATCATGAGATACAGCCTATGAAATACACTAGGAGAAAAATCAAAACCTCAATTTTCTAGAATGAAAATAATAACTAAGCCCTTGTACAATAGGAAATAACTAAACCTAAAGCTATTACTTATGGGTGCTAATTAAAGCTAATGGCTGATTAATGCAAAAAGAAGAAATAATGTTGTGAAAACATAGGTACAGTATAGTACTGTAAATTGAGGCTTGAAGTTGCAAAATAATTTAACTTGGAGTTTTAAAACTAAACTAATATTGACATAACATTTCAAAAGCGCGTGAAAATATAAAAAGAATTTTACTGAAAATTGAATCCAAAGCTATTTCGAAACGGAGGGTTTTCGTCACTATTTCTCTCAGGCTCTTGTCCCT